ATAACAGTAGAACCATTCACACACAGTATATTTCTATACAAACATATAACAGTAGAACCATTCACACACAATGTATTTCTATACAGACATATAACAGTAGAACCATTCACACACAATGTATTTCTATACAAACATTTAACAGTAGAACCATTCACACAGTATATTTCTATACAGACATATAACAGTAGAACCATTCACACACAATGTATTTCTATACAAACATTTAACAGTAGAACCCTGTACTGACCTTTGAAGCTCCCACTGGAGTTCCTCAATACGTTTCTGCTGAAACTGTACTATGTCCTCTTTAGGTGCATTTTCTCCTACTTCCATTGGATCTGTGGTGACATTTGTGTCGATGTCCATTGGAACTACTGATGATTGTGACTGTTGTATTCCATTGGATAATTGATAGATCCCAACTGTGGGTTCACATGTGTGAAAAGCAGCCACAGTAATGGTAGTATCCATGGATACTGGGGGAGACATGGGCTGAGTTTCACTTTTGGTAGTTTGATGGAGAGCTGGAGACACAAGGGCACCACCCACACTGACTGGTGCTGGCATAGCATTTGAGCTCACGGTGGAAATGTCACTTGGTGAAGAAGTCGTACAGGAACTTATGGCTGAGTCAGAATAGGGCTTTAATCTTTCAATAAGTTGGGGTTTTGCCCCTGACACTGGCAAGTTACGTCTCTTCAATTCAGCTTTCAAGTCACTCACTAACAAAGACAATGAATAGGAGAATCAGGTTTAGTAGTATGTGTTAAGTCGACCATATAATTAGATAAAGATCTAATAGGGGTATTTGTAATGACTTACCCTTCATATCTTCTAGCTTTGAAAGGCCTTGTTGGGGTATGTTGTTACTGTCTTGAGGATGAGACTGCTTACAGTGAGTTTGAGATGACGATGAGCTCTCACTGGAAGATTGGTCCCCAGTCTGTTGCTGTCAACAATACAGAAAGTAAATTGGTAAGTTCTAACATCATATGCTGGATAGATACAAGTTCCATAGTTTATTCCAGAAAATTGAGTAAACAGTGAGATCCTTACAAAACATGTTGCTCTGTCATAGCTGAAACTGGAATACTCAGCTACATGACACAAACACTTGGTGCAAATAATTAATATACTTGTCAGTCTTCCAGTATTATACAACTACACAAACAACAATGTCACACATTATGTAGATACTGATATAAATTCATTAGAATCAGCTAAGTTTCTCTTTATGTAAACAGAAGCTTAGATCATCTGTAAAAATAGCAGCAAGGTGATGTAAAACAGAAGCTTAGATCATCTGTAAACATAGCAGCAAGGTGATGTAAAACAGAAGCTTAGATCATCTGTAAACATAGCAGCAAGGTGATGTAAAACAGAAGCTTAGATCATCTGTAAA